CTAGCATGCACGCAGCAGCAAACATATCAACATGGATTATCACTTTGTCCGAGAGAGAGTCTCACATGAAGATTTGGTTGTTCACTATGTTCATACACAGTTTCAGCTTGCACTGATTTTCACCAAGTGCTTGTCTCCTCAGTGATTTATTTTTCTTCGAGGCAATCTGCGTGTTGTTTCCCCTGCACAGATTGAGGGGGTGTAATAGTGTATTAATTATATTAATTATGTTTTCCATATTTTGTATGTTTAATATTGTATTCAGGACATTTCCTTTATTATATATATATGACATTCAGGGCTACCACATTGCATTATATTCTCACAGTTCTCACTTGGTAGTTATTTTCTTTATTCCTTTTTTCCTTCTCATTCCTGATTTGCTTTCTCTCTTGCTTGCACCGCGATCGGTGAAGTAAATGTACCCCATCTTTTGCAACCACGGGAGAAGATGGATGCACTAGTGACTGACCAGATTTGTGCATTGTCGTCAACTGCAAAAAAACGTAACTGGAAAATTAAACAGAGAGTGAAAATTTGCTCCTCAAATCAAAAATATCTCTTGACTTAAAGGAGTCGGGACCGGGGGACTTCATATCGGACTTCATATCAGTACATCTCGGCTTGAAGAACATATGCCCTGGCCAAAGTCGAAATACATAGTCAACAAACAAACTGCAAAACACATTGATGGAGTATATTCCCGTATACCCCAGGGGTACCGCAACCGCCGGTAGAGAGCCTTGCGGGTTCATCGGGGCAAGAAAATACTAAGTCCACATCTGGATCCGATCCCTACCCCGACCGCCAAAGTCGGGAAACATCAAGTTCAGGAATCAAGTAAACTCAGCAGATAAACGAAGTCCACCGACCTCGACCCCGACCCCGAGGTCGGGAAAACATCGAGCTCAGGAGCCAACCAAACTCGGCGATTCATGAGCCCGACCTCGAGACATCCGAGGTCGGCACCAAGTCTGACCTCAGAAGTCTTACTCCAGGTCAACGTCAATCAAAGCACCAGGCGGTCAAACCACCTCCAAAGCAAGAACGGAAGACAGCAGAACGAGTCCTCTCAACATAGGCCTGAGCCCCCAGATACCGACCTCAGTAACCCTCGAGGTCAGAAGAAAAGCACCCTGTACTTAGGCAAAATCCGCAAGGGCTTAGTTCATGAGGAGAAATCACCACGTCACTCTACGCACTGACGGAATGAACCGGATTATCTGCATACGGCTGCATGAAATCTTTGGCAGGATTTCTGTTAGAAGAATGATCAATCAGCTAGCTACCAGAATCTCTCTCTCTCCAATTAGCTTTCCACGTGGCTGCTCCCGGTCCATTTAGTCTGATAGTTTGTTAGAGTAGCTTTACATGTTCCCCTCTCCTATTAGACTAGTATCTTTTTACTTGAGCACCAAGTATTTCCCTTTCTCCTTAGTATAAATATCACCTTCCAACTTGTGGAAAGGGATTGAATTTTGGATGCTTGAGTTTTGATCAATCGCACTCTAAATTTCATACTGTGAGACTCGCAAGCCAGTTCGCTCTCTCCGTTTCATCTCTTATTCTCGGTGGATTCCGGCCACCCCTGGTCCGACGATCCATCACACATAATGCTCTAGTCTGTCTCACATCGACGTCTCTCGGCTCAGAGAGTGGGGGCTCTTGATAGAATATATGAGCTTGGGCCCACCCCATACTCATGGATATACAAAGTGCCTTATAGCTACGTGATTATCCACCTTGGATGAGCCCCTCGGCTTGTGCACCTCAACCAGGAATGTCTAGCTGATAACATTCACATTATTGTATACTTATTAGAATAGCTTACTTCATGAATTAGCCACTTGGTGGCCCGTCATTGTAGGCCCAAGAATGGGAGACCAGTCTACATTTCTTCTATAAATACCTCTCTGGGGGTAGGTGTAAGGGGCTGGAAAATCATTAATATCATGTCACTTTCTCTCAAGAGGTGTGGCGTTGAACGAGGAAGCAGTGACACGGGATCTGGCGGCGGAAATGATGTAGATCGCAGCGTCGGTGATAGACAACAATGGCGGCGACTAGCGGCGGACACACCTGGTAGCTGCAACGCCAACAAAAACACCGGTAGAGATTGAGATTGTGGCGGCGGCGGGTTGCAATGTCCGACGGCGACTAGCGGTGGCTTTCGGCAGTAGGTAGCAGCGATTGGTGGCATTGACTGGTGCAGGTCCTGGCCCGTGGGTGGTGTAGACGATAACTTGTGGCTGAGGTGGGCTTGAGGGGGGAATATGTTGTTGTGTAATGCATTTAATTTATTATTTTATTTTATATTTTTGATAAATAAATTTAAGTATTCATTAAGGTACTTTTGTCAACTCATTCCTTTTTACTCCTATAAAACTACACGAATGATTCAACTCATAGTTTTGCACATTCGTTATGTTTTACTACTATACATATGTTTTACTTCAGTCAGAACTTTATCAATTTCAACAGATTCAGCCAATTCAACTTATTTCAATCTTATCAAACAGACTCTAAATGACTAAACGTTCTCGTCTCAAATACAATGATTATTATGTTAGAAGATTTATGGTGGACTAATTTAAGTGACTATTTATTCATACTTTCTCGTTCTTTTTTAGTATTATACGGTTTGTGAATAATACAATAATACGTATGTTCGTGTACAATTATATAAAATACGGCTAAATATATGTTTCATACGTTCGTGAAATGAATATACATACAAACATGTTTTAAACGTTTCACAATTTAAAAATACGGCATATAATACGTGTCTTATATACTAATGATGAAATAAAGAGCAATTTAACATATGCACCACATTGTTTAATAGTTTAAAATGTACGCAATAGTTTTTCAGATATACGAAATTAAATTCATAAGAACAATAAGTACTAAAAATGACATTGCCCTATTTGAGTAGAAGAAGAGAGATATTACTAGAGAATAGTTGATATTACTTGACCGTACACAGTTTCATAGTTTGATAAGGGAAACCCTACGATGATGAACCCTACCTCTATGACGGCTGCCCAGCCACCACCGCCGACAGGAATAGACACTTGGGTTTTATCCAAGTCTGATTCTATAGTCTATACTGTATAGCTAGACTTCCTTTAACATGGATAAAACCCACGTTATATCACACAAATATAACTTGAAGGTTCATTATCACACAAATCAAATTATATACTCAGAATTGGGTTACCAGCTTATCCAACTTGAAGGTTCGTATGATAGGGGACACCCTCTTTGAAGAAAAATTGATACGTGTTAACTTCAAGCTTAAAGGATGATATTTTAAGGCTGTGAAATGGAAGCGACCTAAAGGCATTCTTAAACTCAATACTGATGCGAAATTTTTACCTAGAGAAGCCGTTGGAGGTGCGATTATGCGAAATGTAGAGGGAATCTTGATCTTTGCTGCTTCTTTTCCTCTCACAGTAACCTCTCCGTTGGAAGCTGAATTGTCAGCGGCTCTGTGTGCTTCGGACCTTGCTATGTCTGAGGTATTCTCTAATTTCATGGTTAAGATGGATGCGGCGGTTGCTTTGAGGTACATTGAGGATGGGGGTGCGAGCAGATGGAAGGTTATTTTTTAGGAAAGTGTACAAAGAGCAAAAAGGGATGGGATTCGATCCTCCTATTGTGCAAGGGAATGTAACTGGGTAGCCCACCAAGTAGCAGACCAACATGCGACCCAACAACTTATTTTTAAACGGGCTATAGACTTATCGATGTCAGCCCAAAAGGCTTATTACTCGGATCTGTTTGGCTTTCCATCGTTTAGATTTATTTATTGATGTATTCCATTGGGTCAGGCCTAGCCCCCTCAATGGCTTTTTATTCTTTTTCTTTTGATTGGTTGTTTTTTGGGAGGAATGCCTCCCTGAAGGGGTTTTGGTATGGTCCCCCCTCACTCTTTATTTCTTTATTTCTCTTTCTTCTTAATAAAATTCAGTAAATGTGTCCCGACATTACCCCACTAATCTTGGTGGTGTGCCTTCCGGGACTTAAAAAAAATTGACCGTACGTTTAGTGAGCTGCCACAATATTCTTTTCTCTTCAGAGTATTGATAGGTGGAGCACAAGAGTAATATTGAAATGAATTTTGACTTTAAGGAACTAATTTTTTAAATCTAATGACTATTATACAATTAACGAAGGTATAAGACATAATACTTTTTTAAGCAATATAAATAGTATTGAGTAGCTAGACATTTTGCTTAGTTGTACCACTTCATTAGACTTCAGTTTAATGGTGTTTTTTAATAAAATATGTATCAATACGTATGGTACGTGTATTATATATGTATTATCCTTAAAGTGCGTGAATTATTCAGAATTTTCTGAAAAATTCATAAACGAGAGTATTGTACGTGAATTATACGTTTGAGTGTATTATACGTGAATTATTCGTGAATAAACTACCAAATTTTCGGAGTATATTAGTCAACAAAGCAACTAGTGGAAAAACATATTTTCCAACACTTCTATTTTATATTAAGATATATAGATGTTAACTTTTTTTTCTTCAACAATCTCTGGGCTTTATGCTACTGCTGCCTCACCAATCTTTTCCTTTTCTCTCCTTTCCAATTCCTGCTTGCGTTTCTCCTATGACTCGTCCAATCTTTTTCTTTTTACTTTCACAAATCTTATCATTTCTTCACTAATACAACCACTGCCCTAAGAAAATTCCACTTGTGAAGTGTTCAAAAAGAATACTGATTTGAGAATAGACACTTGAGTTTTATCCATGTTAAAGGAAGTCTAGCCATACAGTATAGACTATAGAATGGATACACACTTTGTGTATACACTCATGTCTGTGTGGCGTTTTTCATTCCTGTCCCAGACAAAACGTTTTTGTCAAATACGTTTTGTCTGGGACAGACATAAAAAAAAAGCATTCACAAACATAAGTGTGTAAGAATGTGTACTAATAGTGTGTACCAAACTACCAATAGATTTTTTCTAGACTATAAGCATCTCCCAATCTCCCATCAATTTTGTTTCTTGTACACACAATGTATACACACTACTACACGCTATAAAAGTGTTTTATTTTTTACCCTCCGATCTTTTACCCTTTCTATTCCCGCTCTATTCTCTCCGGCCTCTTCTCTCCCTTCTCCGCCTTTTTTTCGTTTCTTCCTTTTCCTACTCCATATTTCTTTTCTTCTCACTCGTTTTCCTTTCTTTCTTCTGCACTCCACTCAGCCACCAACGCAACTTCTACGACCTACTGCACACCCGTTTGCTCTTCCAGTAATGGCTCCAAACCTTAACTCCTTATGTAACCATCTGTCTCCTTTTTGTTAATGTTCATTTAGGTTTTGATTGCATTTTTTTATTGAAATCGTATGTTTAATTTATATTATAGTTATTTGGGAGAATTTGACTTTGCACTACATGTTTTGGGTGATATTTGACTTTGCGCCATATTTTTTAAATCAACCTAAAATTGTAAAGGAGGGGTGCAAAGTAAAATGATTTTTTAGAGAATTGGGGTGCATACATTAATGAATTTAAAAATAGGGTGCAAACTCAAATATCACCTAAAAGATGGGGTGCAAAGCCTAATTCTCCCTAATTATTTCTGGTTGAATACTTTGCTTCATTGTTTGGATTTATGATGTCCATCAGAATTTTTTATGTTAGCAATTCATTTTTTGTCTTGCTCATAATCTGTTTGATAAAAGGTTTCAATGAAATATTCCGGCATTTATCTATGCTAACTTCGTAGAACCATCTTATCAAACTATAGAAAGTTCATTAACCTTGTAGGATTATCAAACTAGTTTTAAACTTATAGCATTAGAAAATAGTCCTCTTAACTTAGGAAGATAATTTAAGATTATATTTCGGATATGCTTCTGGACTCTTTTATTATTGGCCTGTTTTCCCTTTTAACTTTGTGGACGTAAGCCAACTTTTGGATAACCGGTGCACTCTTTTTGTGGGAGGTATGGTTCTCTTTTTCTATTATCTCACTTTTGATATTAATAAACCAAGTTGCTATAAATTGCTATGTTAGTTGCTTGCAGCATTCTCTTCACTAAACATCCTTGTACAGGTTATCTGTTTTCTAACTTTCTTTAAACCATGCAAGACTGTTGGTGCTGATGGCAGTTATATATTCTGTTTATTCTATTAAAATTTGAGTCGGGTGGCATGGAGTTTTTATCTCAATTAACCTTCCGTTCCTCTCAAAAACAAGCTAAAGAAATCATTAAATCAACACCAACAAAATTGAACCTAAATTTGACCACACGGTGAGACCGTCTCTACATGAGCAAATAGAGTCAGGGCCGGCTAGAGCAATTATGGAGCCCTAGATAATCATGCAGACATTTTGTTTAAATATGTTTTATTTAACACAAAGATATAAACAATATTCCCTCCGTCCCTAAAAGGATTGCCAAGTTTGACCGACACGTAGAATAATAAAGTAAAAACTGTGTGGTAGAGATTTGTGCAGAGGAGAGAGAAATAACAAGAGCCACAAATTGATTGATTAAAAGGGAAAGTGGCAAAGTTTTTGGGACAACCAAAAAAGGAAATTTGGCAAAGTTATAAGGGACGGAGGGAGTAATAAACAATAGTAGCAATTAAATAGAAGTAACTTACATATGAAGTGTATCATATACTTCCTCCGTCCCTTATAACTTTGCCAACTTTTTTTTGGTTGTCCCAAAAACTTTGCCACTTTCCCTTTTAGTCAATTAATATGTGGTTCCTATTATTTCTCTCTCCTCTGCACAAATCTCTACCACATAGTTTTTACTTTATTATTCTACGTGCCAGTCAAACTTGGCAATCCTTTTAGGGACGGAGGGAGTACTATTTACGTACTCTCGTTCTCAACAATATTTGAGGGAGAAGGTATTGTGCTTACATATCAATCCATATAGCGAGCAAGTGATTTCATGACCAAATCCTTTCTTAATTTGTTCTTTGTTTTTGTAATCCCGAATCATATTTTTGTTTTCTAATCATTACAAAACTTATAATTTCATTGAAAATAATACGGAGTACTAAATATAAATTAATGGTTCATAAATATAAATTTAGAGCCCGTTCGGTGACCCTGTATTTCAGCTTATCAGTCCACTTTTTCGCCAAACACATAACTCTTTATTTTACACGTTCACTTTTGTCATAATAAGAAAAGGTAAGGTTTAAGTTACTTTTCTTACGATATTGGCTGTAGTGAAGGTTGAAGTTACTTTTGTGACGGTATTGACTGAAATTACTATAGATGATCATTTTAGTTGTTTTTTCGTATACTTTTTTCTTTATTTTATTAACAAAATATATTCTAATTTTCCCCCCCCCATAAATCACTAGAATCAACCAATTCAATCATTTCAGCCAGAATTTCATAAATTTTAACAAAATCAACCAACACAGCCAATTTGGATATTATTAAACAGACTCTTTTAATCACATATTAGTTATATTTAAATAATTCAAAATAACAAATTACAATTTCAATTATTCATTACATCAACATATTTAGAATATATCCTAGGTACCCGCACGGGTAGCTCAGTTGGTTCAGTAGTGGGAAATTTGGACCAAGTGACCAAGGTTCGAAATCCGCAGCGGACGTGTGGAGGTCACAGAACCTGAAATAAAACTGGGCCTCTGGTGTGCACGGGAAAAAGGCCTACCATCATTGGGCCGACTGAGTCACCGTGATTAACATCCTCCCAAAAATCCTGTCGGGTCGGGGTATGGGGGGCTCCTGGGATGGGAGATTCCACCTTTTTTGGACCAAGAATATATCCTAGGTGGCTATGTCCCTAGACCCTACTGCCTTAGCCAACTATAAGTCGAACAAAGAAAAATCGAAAGAACTAAAAGTAAATAATAATAAAAAAAATAACATTACTAAAGTTAATTAAGGCAGAAGGGCCTACTTACCTAAAGTCGGGGGTGTTGTATCGATTAGGATTGCCGAAGGCGTCTCACGATCACTTGAAATTGAAGTCTTCGGGTCGGAGTGTTTGCGGCTCGCCGCTGCAATCTGCACCAGACGTCGAGATGCCGCCACGCAGGTCACCGGCCACTCGCCGATTCTTCCGGACTTCGACCCTCGAACTCCTTCAATCATCCGCTTGCAGATTTTTTAAATTAGGTATTGATGTTTAATTAAAATTAATAATTAGAATTGAATTTACATACATAATACTAATTGGCTTATTTTAAAATTTAGAGACCCCTAAAATTTGGAGGCCCTAGACAATTGTCTAGGCTACGTGCCCCTATGGCCGGCCCTGAATAGAGTAACACCATAACTCCTCCAAGGGCAGTAATAAAGTAGGAAACCAGAGAGAGCTCAGAGGTTGAATCGTGTCCCATGCTGTGAGAATCTCATTCATGCCCACCCTCTGCCATAGCATTCAACAAAGGATTCTCATGTTGCCATAGTCTTCTATAGCCTGCGAAACTCATGTTGCCACTTCCTCGATCAGTTCATAATTTTTCCTCTTCAAAGCATTCATAATTTCTATAGCACCTGGGGGGTCTTCTTGTTTGTCAAACCACTCAAAATAACAAAAACCATTCATTTAACAAATCCCACATATAAAACAGATCAAAGAAAAAAATGACCATTAACTCAAGTGCCAATACCATGATTTAAAGTTTAATAACTCTATGGTGAACTATAAAGAAACAACTTTACAGGTAGTTTATTGCTTTTAAGTCTCACAAGTTTTATAGATCGAGAATTGTAGTGTTGGAATAAATCCATGAATACTTTAATCTTCATATTGAAATTATCTAGAGAATTAACTGAGCGGAAGCGTACCTGACTCCATGGGAGATCACCTTTAGAGATCCGGGAGACAGAGGCTAGGGTTTGCGTCTTCTAGTTGATACACACCCTCGGGATTATCTTTCTAGCGATGGGATGCAGAAAGACGAAATGACGTGTTCAACTAGAGACCATAACCCCTTATTTATAGAGAGTGCTTAACCCTAATCAGTCCATCATTGATTAGGTCAAGCCCATGGGTCTCTACACATTTGGGCCATATACCTTATTAGATAACTTATTAGCCCACTTAAATTAATATCCATAGGACCACTAATTTTTGGGCCTAAATATAAGATAACATATAACATACAATTAAACCCGATAAATAATATACTGTGAATATTACATGTAGTATAAGTCCAATAATTTAACAATCTCCCACTTGGACGACATACACATGTATACACAATCCTTAGAATTGTATGTTTACTTTACGAGCTCCAAGATTTTGCTATCAAACTGTAGTCATCTTTAATCAATCCGGTCCATTAATTATATCAACATAGGACTAAAGAAGTCTTTGCTATATTTGAATAACTAGACCCATCAATGATCACATATATTAATATAATAAACGACATGGATCAAGTATAGGTGTGTAGCGTGCAAATAACATAAAGTGTGGTCTGGAATAGAATGTGTATTTCCAACTGGTCCACCTTGAGATCAATAATATAAATGTAAGAGTACAATAAAACTATAAATTTTATTTCTGCAGAAAACATCTTTAAAAACTGAATTAACCAAATATAGAAACATTACAAACTCTCACTAAAACTCATAATCCTCAACTGATTTGACACCCATTTGAGCAACATGCTCATGAAACACTTTGGGTGGTAATCCTTTAGTAAGCGGATCCGCAATCATGGAGTTTGTGCTAATGTGCTCTATAGATAACTTTCCTTCTTGTACTCGTCCCTTAACAGCCTTAAATTTGACCCCAATGTGTTTTGCCTTGGTCAAACTACTGTTGTTCTTAGCATAAAGGATTGCTGACCTACTGTCACACAATAGTTTTAGTGGTCTTTCAATGTTGTCCACTATGCGTAGTCCACTAACAAAATCTCGCAGCCATAATACCTGATTGGATGCCTCATAATATGCTATAAACTTTGCTTCCATGGTGGAAGTAGCTGTAAGAGTCTGCTTGATACTCCTCCAGGAGATAGCTCCTCCAGCTAGAATATAGATGTAGCCTGAAGCGGATCTCAAGCTATCTTGACATCCAGCAAAATCAGAGTCGGTATACCCAATGATCTCAAGCTGATCTGATCTCCGACATGTGAGCGTATATTCCTTTGTTCTCTGTAAATACCGCATGACCCTTTTGACTGCTTTCCAATGGTCCATTCCCGGATTGCACATATATCTGCCTAACATCCCAACAATGTATGCCAAATCAGGTCTTGTACAAACATGGGCATACATCAAACTTCCTACAGCCGAAGCATAAGGAATGTTCCTCA